CGTTGGTGTTCAAAGTCATTTTGCTTTTCTTTTTACTGTGTTGGTTGAAGAGCTGTCGACAGCTGCACCATCTGTACTGCACACGATATGCTTACAGACCGATTGACTATTGACAAGGTTCACAGCAATTTTGACTGCCTGGAGGTGGTGTGTGGGAGCCTGGCTGGGCAGAGCAGCCTGAGGTGGTTAGTGCCTGCCCTGTGTGCCAGCTTTCCTGCCAAGGAAGAGGGGATGCTCTGTGTGTGTGTCTGTGTGTGTGTGTGTATTGGAGGGAGCAATAATCTCATCAGCAGGCCCAAGCTTGGCTGCTGCTGCTTTTCAGCCAGAGGCCAGAGCGATGAGATTCAGCACAGGACTGAGTTAAAGTTTTGCTTCCTGAGAAAAGCAAGGTTAATCTAGTACCAGATGTACTTTTAAGGCAAAACCTCATGGCATGTGAGGGAGAATTGGGTTTTGTTCATAGGAAATAAAAAAGGCATCTTCCAAACTGACTGCATGTATACCCAATATTCATCAAAGAGGATCTCAAAAATCCCAGAGGGAAGAAATGTGCCTGTAGCTGCTCTGCCAAGTGCTGATCTGGGAGCACTGTTACCGGGGCGGGCCAGTTACTAGTAAGTATGTGCGTGCTGCTCTCAGCTGGGCCTGCACTGCTTCTCTCCAGTGGTGGATAGATGGGAGTTAGCCTTCCGTCTAGCTGTCTTTTTCATGGACAGCTTCTATTTCTGTGCACCTTCAAGTACAGGGGAGGAAGGAAAGATAACTCTTCTAATAGGCTCCTTCTTGTCACTTCCAGGTTTGTCATCCAAGCTATGGACTTGTAGGTCTAGACTTACCCATCAGTCCAGCAGATTATGATGAGGCTGATAAGTTTAATGTGCCATTAATCACGTCACTTGCATGTCAACAGAATTATGTCACTGTTCTACCTGCGTTCCTTTTATATTGTCATTTAGCACAGGAAGAGAAGACATTAAGTAAGGGATTAAATATTGCACGTTTTGCAGTTTAGCAGCTAGTTTTACCCTAAAAGGTACTTGGATCCTTCTGGGAAGGTAAAGAGAAGAAACTGTGATGTTTGCTAGGCATGGTAGGGAGGTATCATGTTATTCTTCCTTTATATCTTTACATGAAATACAAGCGCTAAATGTACCAGTGTACTTTCCTCCACACCATAAATGAGATATATTAACAGAGGTTTCTTCGGTGGCTGGATGAAGTGACCAGGGTAGTAATACTGAGTAACACTTGGGCTGCAGGAAGGTGAGAAGCATGTGAACAGATAAATACAAGTGGGATGGACACACAGAACTGAAGCACCACATAATTTCCACATGGTTAGATTCGTCTGTCTTATGTCTGGTATCATTATTTATGATTTAGTGCAGTTGTGCTTCCTTTCTTGACTAAGTAACTAAGAGATGCTAAATGGATAAAAACTTTGTATTTATTGAACAATTGGCCACAGAATAAGCAAAGCATCATGTAACCAAAAGAGAAAAAGGAAAATACAGTAAGATTTTTGGGGTATTTTTTTTCCAATTATTTAAAGTTCTAATACAGCTTAAATTGTCTAGCAAAGATTAGATTGAATTTTTTCAGGAAGTCTTAGAACCGTCCCTTTATACCACGTCCTGTACTACTCTGTCCTTGATAATCTTTAAGGCATTGAGTTTGTTTATTAGCATCCTATTTGAATAAAATGTAAAGATTTTAATTAGAATTTTATTTCCTTTAACTTTCTGGGAACTTTATGTTCAGTTTGAATTGCTGTTGTGCCACATTGTTGTTTCTTACCTCAAGTGAATTTCGCAAGTTTGACATGTTCTTATTGCCACATTTTTTCAGTTTTACAGTACAGATGCATGAGGGAAAAAAGGCTGTGCAAATGATTTCCTCTCTAAAGTAGAGCTGAAATATCATCTTGTAGGTGGAGCAGAGATAAGAAAAAAGAAGAGAAAAAAAAAAAGAAAAAGCAACCTTGTTTCAGTGGGAAGGGAAGATTGGAGTGGGAGGTGAGATCAGAAGGGAGACAATGACTTGGGGAGGTCTTTGAAGAATTTAGGAAAGTGTCACTAAAAGCAGTCATCTTACCAGTCTTATGAAAGTTCATCATAATGCTTCATTTATCCCTAAAGGGCATATGCGTCACCTCTCACTAGAGCACAAGCTTTATGCCAAGTCTTACCAGACTGGAACTTAAGTCCTTACAACAACGTAACCTGATTCATACAGCAATAGAGATGTTTGCTTTTTGTCTGAAAGCAAAATTGTTCTCTGGCAACATTTATGCCTTTCCAGCACTTCCCTAGTGCTCTGCATACCGGTAATTGTCTCGCAGCACTTCACAGAAAGCACAATGGACAGAGACTAGGATCAGAAAAACATCTAGGTAGTATATGCCAATATATCATCAGCTTGAATTTTTCTCTTAATGAGGTAAGACTGAGATTGGCACATGGAGGAAAAAGATTAAAAGTACTTCTAGATCCAAGAGCTAGTACTTGTTTTCATGGAAAAGAAGGCTTTTATTTCATGCTGGTTTGTATTGTAGTATGTGAGTACATTTTTTGTATCTACAGGAAGGATAAATGCAATGGTGGTTCAGTTGACACAGTGATGTGACTTCCTGAGCATTTCACCGTTGCCTTTAGTTGACTAGGACACAACCCCTGCTATGTAGCAAACCAGTGAGACTTGTGGGTTACCCATTTGCAAAGAACAGATACTTTGAATTATATCTATGAAGGTACCGGGAAACATTAGTGTCAGTTTAGGTGCCCAGTCAGGCAGTATTCAGGGCCAGGAGCTCCTGCTCAGCTGTTGTTTAGGTCTTTATAGTAGATGCTGTCAAACTTTTCAGATTCCTACTAAATGTACTAAACAGGGCACACAAGGTAGGCAGTTTTGGTGTATGTGGTTTGCAGTACCCAGTTAGGTAGGGGTCCTAAGATTAAGAGTTATGGGTGAAAGTGGAAGTAGGGGTAATTGCATTGCCCACTGAAACCATGTTCAAAGCACTCACAAATAACTGTGGGAGATGATAGTTCAAAAAATCTTCTCTTGGCTCAACTCTAGCACAGGAATGTTTTTTTTCTATATGTAGCTGCCATTTATAGATTGGGTCAGGTCATTCCCAGTTCTGTTACAGACCTCCCATTTTATTTAAATAATTAGTCATTAAGAGCACTTACTGAGTTGGTTATCTGTAGTGTGTTGGTTGAACTCTGCCCTGGATTCCAGTCCCTGTTCACATCAGTCAGAGTGAAAAACACATTCCTCCATGACACCATTGGTTGCTTTACAGGGACTGGATGACAGTGAAGTGTCCCTTCACTTTCCCATGAGACAGGTTGTCTTGTAGATCCCTGATTCCAAAAGAGATTTACAGCTGAAAAATCCAAACTGGAAAAAACCTCATTGTGTTTAGGGTACTTTACAGCACTCCATACTGCTTCTCCACCCTGCTTTTGGCTGGGTTTAATTTGCTTTCCGTTAGCTGTGATTTACCCATGCACTGCTTGGGCAGCCTGCACTCCTGACCAATTTATTGATTCTATTCTTTAGCAAAAGGCCTTAAGCCAGGAGTTCAGGACATAGAAAAACTGTTAAATAAAACATAAGTGAATGCAAAAATAATCATTTAATGGACTTTATGAAAGGACAGTAAACCGAACAGTTCAGTCTAGTGGATGATGTATAACAACTAAACAAATATGACAACTAATTAAGGATTAGGTTCTGCATTTTAGATGACAGGACTTATAAAATGAACAGTTAGGTTATGTTGAGGGGAAAAAAAGCTGCATTTTGCAAATGTCAGGCAGACAGCTCAGTAAGCAGAAAAGCTCAGTTATCCAATTAAAATAAATGTGCAGTCTTCTCAATATAAAGAGCTAAAGCATCCTTATGTTGAGGAGTTAAGATCCTGAAATATAAGTAGAGCAAAAAAGTGCTATAAAGATTAATGTAATCTATCAAGATTAACATTTTGCATGCTGGCAGAGGCATATAATAATGTGTTTCAATTCCTGAAATTGGAAACATTAGGCTAAGATCAGTACCAATTTAAACCACAGGTAATCCCAAATATTGAATTGAATTCATTATTTACAACCATGATGGGCTAATAAAGTTGCCCTAATGATTTCTATGGGAAATAGATACCTACAGTAGGTGCTATCCTATTTCCCATAATCCTCTCTGACACTTCATGTGAAATGTAATAACAAGTTGCATAAATGTAATTTAGGGAAAACTCTTCCACTAAAAATATTTCCTGATTTATTCAGGAGTTTGAGTCCTATTCTAAGGAAGATTATGAATGCTTTGAACATTGTTGTGTGCATGGTTGTCATGACAGAGGCCAAAGAGTTTCAAGACCCCCAATGGGGGACACAACCTCATTTTTGTTGTTGCTTTCTAGCAAAAGGAAGTTATTGCATAACAATGGAAAGGGAGAGGTAGGAAGAGATCACAATAACTACTGAACTAGAAACTGTGTTGCACTTCCATTGTAGGAAAGAAAAGTCCACTCTAGACATCCATGATAACTGCCAGCAGAGCACTTCTTTGTTTTAAATGAAAGGTTTGGAGACCTGCCCTTTGGTCTAGGTCTCCAAAATAAGAGTTTCTAAGGCTGACAACTTATAACCACACATAAATTTTCTACAAGGATATTCACTTCAAGGCATTTGCAACTGAATTAATGTGAAAGATACAGATTTTCTGGTGGTTTATAAAGCAGAAACCAGAACATTATTACTAGGAGGGAGGTTTTACCAGGGGTATTAAAACGGATTCAAGTTCGTGAGGTCCCTGGTTTACAGAAAAATATCTGTCAAATGTTGAAAAGAGTCGTGAGAATCTTAGCTCTGCAGTGCTTGAGAAAGTATGGAAGATCATGGCTGTAACACCCCCACCTCTGGTTTTGCCACCCACAGAATTGGCACCCTTCTTGTGAAGTGAGCAGTTGCACTTGCAACTCTTGAGTATCTATC